AATAATAATTGAGCATTTTATCTTTGTTTGTGTTTCAGGCCACCCAACCCTATTGAATACCTGGCAACATACTTGCTGAAAAACAAAGACCAGTATGAAGAAAGCTAGTGACCATACCTTATATTCATATGATTGTAAATTTATCACCTCGTAGGTAATATGTCACCACTGGATGCCATTATTAACCTAACTTTATAGAAAAAGTGACAGAAGACAAGACAGTTTAAGGAAGAAAAGAGGATTTTTACTGTCATTTGTGAATGTTGGTCAAGATGCATTAGGCTGGTTTTATTTGAAACAAAGCAATTTTGTCATTATGTTTATCATCTTTATCACTTATTAATATATTTATCCGGGTATTTCTGAGAAAGTCAATTATGTGATGTCATTAGCCTCCTCAAAGTTTGACTATAACCTTAACGCGTTTCAACTGTATGACTTTGTATTGTATCTCTTGTGTTTCTCTTGTTTGTAAGGTACCTTCGACACTGAAATTAAAAAAACATTGTTGAGTGGTTGTTGTTGTTGTTATTTGTGGGTTGCAAGGGGAGGACTTGTAAGCTAATATGCAGTACCAGTCTCTATTGTATGTTTGTTTCTTTGTTTATTATTAGTTTTTAGAGCATTACTAGCAAATTTACACAACCTGCATATAGCATTAGCTAGTTTTGGCAGGTATTAGTTATAAATAAGTAAATCCTACACATTGCAAGCTAAAGAAGCAGTTGATGACATTCTGACTACTTTGTTTATCATATAAGGGGCGAAATTACTGAATTGTGATTGGTAAAGACAGGGGGCATTTTTTCTTAATTTTTGTAATTGCCCTCTACAAAATTACTTGAAAATGATTGGCTGAAAATCGTTTAGCAACGGCTGGCAAGGTAAAGAAATTTCTGTTTGTTTTGTAACAATGGCGTCCCGTTTTGAACGAGATCAGTAAGAAACATTTTGCCCCTTATATTATAAACAAGTAATCACATGGTTCCTCGTAAAATTAAGGATTAATATCACTGTGTTTTCGGAAGTTGCAGAAATTGCCCTTGTCGCTGTGCAACTCAGGCAATTTCAGCAACTTCCGAAAATGCGTGATATTTATCCTCAATTTTACTCGGCCCCATGCGATTACCTATACTTATTGGTTTTATCAACAAAGTTGAAATGGTAAATTGGCCACCGTAACGATTACAAAAGCTGACGTTTCGAGCGTTAGCGTTGAGCGTGAGCGTTATCTCTGCCTGTTCTACTGCTGCAGAAAACATGCTAAAAGTCAGGAATGAAATTGTATTTGTTGGAGATTTCAATATCGATATGATGGCCTATGTTGATGGGAATTTGCATAATACGAATAATCCTTTGGCTGATTTCTGCGATCGCTATTGTCTCTCAAATACAATAACTGAACCAACAAGGGTTACTAACACAAGTGAAACCCTAATTGATGTGATCCTAGTTAATCGACCTGAGCGATGGACAAAGAGTGGCACGTTGAAACTTGGAATAAGTGATCACGATCTTGTATACATTGTGAGAAAACCACGCCTACCGAAATCGAAAGTGCAAACGATTGAGTCCAGAAGTATGAAGAAATTTGATGAAGCCTCTTTCTGTTGTGATTTATCTACTGCTCCATGGGACAGTGCCTTTGTTTATAATGATATTAACGATGTCTGGAATCACTGGTCAAAGCTCTACAAAGACATAATAGACAAACATGCGCCTATTGTGAAAAAAAGGGTTCACGCAAACCAACTTCCGTGGATCAATGTCCAAATAAAAAGAGCAATTCAACTGAGAAACAAACTATACCGCAAATACCGCCTTAGTCGGAATGACGAAACTTGGGAAAGTTATAGAGTACAAAGGAACTTAGTTACCAAACTTAAGCGAACATCTATTAAACGGTTCTTCTTGGACTCTTCAGCTAACGCAACAACTCCTGGAGATTTTTGGAAGCGGGTAAAGCCTCTTCTACCGTCTTCTGGACAAGATAACAGCGATGGCACATGCATAATGGTTAGAGGTGCAGTTGTTAGTGATCCATCAAATCTTTTCAATAAACACTTCTCTTCACCTGTTCTTGATCGAACTGTTTTGACTAAGTCTGTTGAAGATTTCGAACATCATCCAAGTGTGACTTCAATCTCGTCGCGCAATTTCAATCTTGGATTTTCATTTCAACCTGTCAGTACGGAATACATTGGTAAATTGCTTANAAGCACTCTAAACAACAAACGTGTCTAGTTACAATGATAAGGTTGAGATCGGACGTCAGCATTATCAGGCGCCTCTGGCAGCCGCTTCAGTCCATGTAACGATCTCACCTTCCCTCCCATCCCACCCCAGGGGAGGACATCCACCACACAGTAATCTCGTGCGTGGGAAATTAACGTCTCCTACCCCTAACCCTGCAGGAGACGGGGCCTACGGTTTATTCGTCCTTATCCGAGAAGACTAGAATATCTATCCATTTCTTGATATTATAGAAAGGTAGCAAATTCTCCTCACTTATTTTAAGACCATGAGTATTTGTCCGGCCGGGGCTCGAACCCTCAACCTCCCGCACAACACAATCCGTCGCTCTAACCAATTGAGCTAACCGGGAGGTGGTACAGAAACAGTACAGAACAGAACATGTACAGAACATGTACAGAAACAGTTGACATTCTAACTACTTTGCTTATTGGCTAAGCCTTTTGTGACATCCCAGAGAATGGCTGTTGAGAAGACTGATGCAGCTGTTGGTTGGGTGTAAAATGAAAGTGAAGTTAGTGGGCGGTGACTGGAGAACAGGGAGTAAAGTTGCAAGGGGTAAAATATTCACCTCCCCACCCTCATCCCTTCCTAATTTTTTCACTGTTACTCACCTCCTTGGGTTCTGTCCTGGTGTACCGGTTCACACGGGAATTACCTTTGTTCTTTCTTTGTTTAGGAGTCATTGGTTAGCTGTTGTGTATTGTTTGGTCTTTTGTATCGGCTCTTGTGAACCGGTACACGAGGACAGAACCCCTCCTTGGTTCAAATTTCTTTCTCTCCCCAGCCTTCCACTTCCATTTCAATCAAAGATGACAGCCACAATTTTTGCAAAGAAAATACTGAGCACTTGCTTGCCAAAATTACACTTTCTCAGCAGGCTACTTATTCCATCCCTCTCATGCCATTGTTGCTTACCCGACAGCTCTACTTCTACTCAAATTTCCCCATTCACTTGTCAGAGGTCCCAGTCCTTTGCGGTTACCTCCTTTCTTCGGGGATACACAACATGGTAGTCTCCTTCGCAGCCGTTGTTTGGGCTCGTCACGCAACGCTCCCTCCCCCACCAACCGGCTGCTTAAACCCGAGCTGCATTCCTTTCCCTGGCTTTAGCCAATCACGATTTTGCTCATATAATTCTGAGTAAGTCTAGCCAAGACTAGTCATCCAACCAAAACTCGTGTTCTATCAGCGGCTCATTGAGCAGAGAAAATGGTGTCTCTCGAAGTAGCTTTTGTTTTGACATGACATAACATAACTAAACTTAACATCAACTTTATTTCAACGCGATAAGTGTTTAAAGCTTCGCGCTTAAGGGGTCGATCATTTTAACTTCCAAATTCTAAATTCCTAGCTTAAATGATCACCAGAAGCTAGCAATTGAGAAAATTCTTTTGCAAAAAACGATGTATTTGTAAACCTGCCTACGGGGTTGGGAAAATCCTTGATTTATCAGGGTCTTCCACTCGTGTGCGATCACATCAAAAATCTTGCTGGGCATATCGTTGTTATTGTTTCTCCGCTCGTAAGTCTTAGCTTTATCAAAAGCTGGTAGCATTTGTCTCTACAAACAAACAATTTAATTGTTCTCCGCGTAGCGATGCACATCAACAGTGAGCGAAGAACGAATTGGTTCAGCAACATAAAATAAATTTTTACCGAAAATGTAAATTTTATCCTTTGTGAGTGAAATCGAGGAACAAATGAAGCATCTTGAACTACTTTCTAACAATTTCTTCGGAGTTACATCCATGGGAAATTTCTGAGATGACTGGAAACTTCTCTAGAGAGCGCCGATGAATTTACGCGGGAAACTTACGTCATAGAAATTTGATTGGTTTTATCGTGAAACCAAAGGCGACGTGTGATTGGTGCAAAYGCGGCTCGGGTTGGTGGGGGAGGGAGCGTTGCGTGACGAGCCCAAACAACGGCTGCGAAGGAGACCAACAACATGGCAGTGTTAAGATTAATTACCTTTGACGCTTGTAATACTCTTTTTCGTGTTCGAGGCTCGCCTGGGGAATTGTACAGCTGTGTGGCCTCTCGTTTTGGTGTCGAGACAAAGGCCAAACCTTTGAACGATTCGTTCAAACGCTCCTTTCGAGAATTCTGCAATACCCTGCCAAACTTTGATGCCAACAGTTATAACACAGCCGAAAAATGGTGGCATGGAGTGGTAACACAAACATTTCGTTCGGCTGGATACCAAGAGGAAGCAAATTTAGCCAGAATTTCCTCAGTTCTGTATCGAGAATTTTCAACATCAAGGTACTGGCAAGTTTACCCTGAAACTCATTCCGTGTTGAATCATTTGAAAAAGCAGAACTACCATCTTGCCATTGTATCTAACTTTGATGAGCGACTTGATGGAATTCTCGAAAGTCTAAGCGTCAAAGACTATTTCGACTTCATAACGTGCTCGTTTAATGCTGGATTTTACAAACCATCTCCTAAAATTTTTGAGCTTGTTCTGAATCATTTTGGCGTCAAAGCTGAAGAAGCACTGCATGTTGGGGATAATGTAGACTTGGATTACAAGCCAGCTATTCAGTTGGGAATGAAATCCTTGATTGTAGACAGGTTTTGTATGGACTTTAGCAAAGATATTGTAAATCCTGAACATCTTATCAAAGATCTAAACCCTTTGCTAAAACTTTGAATTAAAAATTCTTATGATTATATTTTATAGGGTGACAACTTTTATGGTGGGTGTAGAATGTCGGCTTGGGCTTCTTCTACTTTCATCATCATTTTGAAAATTTGAAATTCAGCTACCATAAAATCAATGCAGTTTTTTTTTATCTACTCTCCAGGCACAAGGAAATGAGCTGACAACCTCTCTTTAGTTATCAATAATTAATGATTTCATGATACTTGAAAGAAGGAATAATTCTTGGCACGAAGCAAATGACATTTGAAAGCTAACCATTGATAGCTTTTTCTTCGACTCGTTTACCTGCCTTGAGGTGAGGTAGTGCAAGCAACAAAAAATCCAAGCAAAACAGAATTTACAGGAAGCTATACTATTGCTGAAAATTTCAAAACCAAGTAGTCAAATTCAGCATTTACTATGGCAATTGTCACATTTAAAGTTACCCTTCCCACACGTCATATTTTTTCATAGTTTTATGATTGTGGACTTCTCTGTGCTGGGCTGTCCTTTAATGTTCCTTCCACCCATATGCATTTCTTTATTCATCTCTATGAAACCTTTCTTCGTTACCCGTTCATCGGGCATTGAAACCATACCTGAGGGTTCTCCCCACTGATTGGGAAGTTTAAGGTGCCATAGAAATTAAAAAACCTCAGAAACGTTAACTTGAATGAGTAACTGGGAACTTTTGCTTAAAATCTTAACAATTCATTTCTGCAAGGCTGCTCTCAGAGAGTCATTAAGGCAAGTACATGTATGGAAAAGTTGCATGAAGGTGTTGCATACTCCAGAATTAAGTGGTATTCATCTGTGTTGCCATCTGAATGGGGCATCTTTCTGCCATGTACTGAAAGTGTGTAAGGTCTCATTTACAGCACTTAACAACTGTGGAGCCATGGAACAGTTAAGTGAATAAAGACTTATTTAGTAGATTGAAATTAGTCCTCACAGAGATTAGCATTTAAAAAACATTTAAACTAAGTTCTTAAATTGTATCATAGTTTTTTTTTTTCGTTCTTTAGAGCACTGTATTAAGCCATAAAGCCCAATTTCATTTCACCTTCACTTCGCGAGTCGTAAACTGGTCAAAGATGAAAACCTTCACAAGTAAAACACAAAGTAAAAAACCTTCAAAATAAAACACAAATTAATTTTTTTAGAAGTTGATCCTTGTGCTTGAGATCATCATCCTTGCCTCCCTGTCAATGCAAGGAAATGCACATTACAAAATGCATTCTACATATATACAACTGTTCTAAGAATCACATGGTACTGTGACTACACTGTAAAGACAGCCAAAACAAGATCACTTCACATTTTCAATGACTACAATTTATGACAAACTCTGGCTCTCTTGTTAATTTATGTACACATTGCTTTTAAGTAGTTATAGTGAGTTCTAACACCTAAAGAGTTAATTATTTACTTACCAAAGCACTTCAGTGCTAATTCAGACAGGATCCACAGGGAGGATTCAATATTCGGTTGAACATGGGTGACCCTATTGATAGTCATCATTTCAGAGTCTGAAATATGGAGGTAATTGCCCTCTCTACCCTCAAAGCTGAGCATGGTACATTTTCCATTTTCAGGCATCTTCATGATGCTAATTTTTACATCTTCCACGTTCAAAGGGAAGTCTGCCAAAAAAAAAAAAACCTTGATGAAAAACTCAACCTAGACAACAAATGTCCCTCAATATTTTAAGAGAACCATTTCTTGTTAATAGGGTCACTTAAGAGACGTTACAGGGCTTGACACTAACGGTAGCCCACTAGCCACAGACTGGTAGAAATTCAGTTTTACCAAGTGGTTTTCAATTCCCACAAGCCAGTTTGGCTAGTAAACAAACTGAAATTGTTGTAACATCTATGTCATCACTAGTCACTTGCCTAGCAAGTTGAAAAGTTAGTGTCAAGTCCTACATTACTAACATAATCTTACTCACTAGTATTCATATTCATCCCATATAGGTGACAGAGCAAAATGATGATGCTCTCTCCTATAAGTCCAGATGCAATTGCTGCAATCTCAGCAGCATTCTGTTGTGCACCATTCTGTGGATCGGTGGTGTATTTATATGACACCCCATCTCTGTTTTTAAGAACAATGGTGTGCTCCAAAGGAACTTGTTCATCTATTGAATGAAATAAAAAAGAAGACAAGTTCACAAACTCCAGAATATTCAGCAGAAAGCAAACTAGGAGACTTTGAAGCCAAAACTATCAATATTGGCCTTGACTATTCAAATGAGATAACAGCTGCTGGAGGAATCTGGAGCATAAAGTTCAAAATGCTTCTGTAATAGTTATAGTCTGGGAGCATCTGTAATCCTGTGAGAATTTAGTAGAGAAGGCACATGATAATATGCATTCTTGTAAAAGTTCTTTGCTATGTTTATCAAACTACAAAAATATTGATATTGCAGCATTGCTTCCATTGACAAAAATCTGTTTTGGCAGGTTAGTCTGATTTTGAAGGTCAATAACTTGATAAAAGCAATGAAATATTGGCTAATCTTCTGTTGATTGACTGTCACGACTTAATTGTCGATCCATATGAGCACATGTGATAAAAAGTAAACAAGATTGGATTGACTCTTTGAAGAACGGCTGAAACAACAACAACAAAATAGGGTAACTGAAGTTCAAATCAACAAATCAGCCAAAAATTTAATGGTTGTGTGAATTCAGATACCTTTTTGGTTTTGTTTTGATTGTACCAGACTACAATAGTGATGAAATTCTTCTTTCTTTCTCCAATTTTAAAAATGTTACAATTGAAAGTTCATTGTAAAAAAATGCAAATAATAATAACTCGTCAGTTGACTATGACTGTTTTTCCCAGTTTGCCAAACAACTTCAGAAGGCTTAATGTCCTCTTACATCTATGTTTGAATGTCACGAACTTAGACAGGTAGTTCCTGGGAGAGGAAACTGTTACAGTGTTATTGAATATCTGGAACCCTTCATTGTTATTTAGTAATTTGATGGGAATGCTGTAAAAAGTTAAAGAAAAAATATTTAAAAGAGGAAGCAAAAAAATGGACGGAAATAAGATAATGAAATTCTACTTGGAAGACTTATCTAAAGAGGATCCTTCACACTGACAATTATATAATTGTGTTTCTGATAGTTTGGTCACATCAGAAGAGACAGATGGCTATTTTTGTTTCAATTAGGTGTGCCCTATGGCATTTACAAATTAAAACTGGTTATCAGTGGAGGCCCACTGTTAAACTAATGAAATGAGTACTTGAAGAGAAAAAGAAACAAATTGACCAGAAATTAAACTCAGTTTAAGTCTAAACAATAATTCAAAACATGACATAAGATTTATTAACATTGATGCCTGATGCTTCACAAAACAGGACTTTTGAAGCAACCTCTGGTGGACCTCTAGAACTCTGAAAATATGCCAATATGACAACCCATGAGTTACTAAACCACTTCTCTGTTCTTTTCTCAACCTTTGAAAATACTTTTGGATTGTAGTGCACGTCTTTCTCACCCCATTAGGTTTGATTTGTGTTGGACAAATCCAAGCGGGACAATGTCTTTTGGTCAAAAAGATTAATCACCAATGCCAGTTTCCTTATAGTCATTGCTGGGCCATGTGAGTTTCCACTACTTTGACTCTAGAACAAATAGACTTTGATGGACTAGGAATATAGAAGACATATGGCATGGCCAAGACTCCTCCAGATTCCTACATGTGTTTATTCTACCCCCACCAAACTATCGGCAATCTTTTGTGTACTTTTTGGCAATCCTTTGCAAGCCTTGTTCTCAAAAATCAAGAATTTTCCTGCTACAGCAAAATTTTCCTCCCAATATACAAGGGGACTTCTAGGATATTGCCTCCCTGAGGTTTTGGCCATCTTGGCCAAAACACTGCAGGAGCAACTACATATTTATGTCTTTAGGTCTTTATTGAATATACAAGTAAAAATACATACCTATATTTACATGTTTAAAGTATTAATTAAAGTTTAAAAAGCGGAAGCATATTTAAAATAGTCTATTAACCCATTAACGGCCACAGCTTTTGTGGAAAACTGTGTTTTGAAGCTAGTCCAGCAGATTTCGGGTCACTGTTGGGGTTTTAAAAGCTCGAACTTACCAAAAACCACTTGACAGCTCGTGCACTCGACGGCCTTTCGATCCAAATGCAAAATGGCGGCCTGAAAATCTCGGGCACGCGCAGAGAGCAAAATTTCGACATAGTTTTTGGGTTGAAAAGTCACGCCCCACTTACGACTTCTACTTTTCTCTCTTTCTCCTGCCCTTTTTTTCCCCTCTCCTTGCCTAAAGTTTCTCCTCACTTGCTGGAAATTGAGTAGGCTTCATTTTGGTGTAGAGATTTTTCAGAAACTACTCATTATTTTCAAAGCACATGCTCGGAAAGGTAGGTGGGTAGTGAAACACGATCTTCGTGCAGATTTTCCAGTCAAAGTGACACGGTTTTTTGGCTATTTCTCCAATCTCCTCCACTCAATTGCGCTCATTCTGGTATCGTCTGCAAGATATTTTCAACCCGTTCAAGTACATGCTCGAATTCGTGCTCCAGAGTTAAAATTGATGACGTCACAGGGCGTAGAAAGGGTGTGGGTCCCCATGGGCGCATACGGGCGCACTGGACGTTAATGGGTTAATATAACTAGCTTTGAAACGCTCTGTGTTGAAACAAGGTAGTAGGCTAGTTTGAGTTCTCAAACATTTGGAAGATTTTTTAACTTTGGGCAACAAACTGTACAGCAGATGAGTAGGCAGGCAACTAATCCTCTTTGAGATTGACCTATCTGTTTTCTCAAGCAAATCATACATATCTATAGCATAGGATATAAAACTGCATTTATGACATCTACGAAGGAACCGCTGCACAGTATTAAGTTCAGGCACAGAGGCTGCATACACCAGTAAACCATAATTGTAGTTGTATGTACTAACTAACAATTCTTATTATATTTTTTAACATCAAAGACTGTCGCAAAGAGTTCAAGCTGTAAAGCTTATGTTCCAGCATGGAAACAGGGCTGGTCCTTAAATTGCATTATAACTATCTTTACTGGCAACAAACTGCTTCAAAAATTACTTTTTTGATGTATGAAAGTGTATCTGACACATTAAAGTAACATTTAAGTTATGCATTTGGTCACATGACTCTGTCTTTAGACTGATCACAGTCTAAAGTGTACTTATGGCCTGGTAATGTAACAGCGACATTGATTTAGGTGAAACTAGTTAGTTTGCACCCATCTTGTATATATTAAGTTTTTTTTTTAGGCATTTCATGGTTCAGCCTTATTTCTCTGCTAGCATGGTCACTTCACCAGCTTTATTACTTAATTATTTACACATATCAGATAAACTTCAATCTTTTCTTTTCGCAATTATTGATACAATTTGTTGCCATTAATAGTCAACAAGGGTAGTACTTTAATACAGCCTCGTTTTCATGCTAGGACATAAACATTACATTTTTAATCCTCTATAGCAGTCATCGGTGCATTACATCACAAAATTGCCGACACATTTTTTATATTCCTCAGTGTTCCCTTAACATATCTAGATAGGTGGCTTGCTTTTTTAAAAAATTCCCATCAAAAGGTAATTTATTTGAACAGATGTTTATTAATTTCTGGAGTGAAAAATTCAATGATCATTTGTTGTAAGGTTCTAAAATTAAGATTATTAATCACAAAGGACTTCTCTTGTGATTATTAGTCACAATTATTAGTGAACTAAATGTGGGTAACAATAGTAGGGTGACATACATGTATATGCAATTATGTCCAATATATAAAAATTACAATCAATTTAACCCATTAACACCTACGTAAGTAACACCTAGTATAACAACTAGTAACACATGCCTAAAAAATGCCACAATTTTGGAGAAACAAAGAAAGCAAACACAATGTGCAGTAAAATTTTCAAAAATCATCTTTTCCAAAAAACAAGCTCCAGTGAAAGAAGACTGATTAAAGAACTTATTTCCGACAAAAAAATTAGTGATAGGCCTGTTTCTCGGTGTTGCTCCCTACAATAACTAAGTTTGTCAATTTGTCTCTCTCAACTGGCAGAATGCCTAATGCATTGAAAGCTGCTGCTTTATCTCCGTCCCTGAAGAAACCTGATGCTGACTTCAAACAGTTTTCAAATTTTTGTCCTATCTCCAATCTGACACTAATCTCAAAGATCATTGAGAAAGCCATTGCTGAACAATTGATTGACCATGTAAATGACATACCATCTAGATGTGATGTATCAGTCTGCCTTCAAGGTCTTGCACTCGACTGAGACGGCCTTACTAAAAGTACAAAATGACATACTGTGTGCTGTTGATGATAGTCAGTTATACTCCTTCTACTCGACTTGTCCTCAGCCTTTGATACGGTTGATCATTTGATACTGTTACCTAGACTCTCCCATTGTTTTGGTATAAAGGGTAATGCCCTTGCTTGGTTTGATTCGTATCTTAAATCTCACAAACAGTTTGTGCAAATTGAAGATTGTCAGTCATCACAATGTTGTTTAGCACATGGGATGCCTCAAGGATCTGTGTTAGGTCCCTTGCCGTATTTATCATATACATCTACGATTGCTGATATTATCAATTTTCATAGTCTACAGTACCATTTGAATGCTGATGATTCTCAACTTTACATTTCTTTTAAAACTGACTGCTTTGCTGACCTTGCTCAAGCTAAGTCATCTGTTGAGCTATGTGTCAAAGATATTGACTGGTGGGAGACAAATAACACGTTAAAGCTCAATCAGGAGAAAACTGAGCTGATTGTAATTAGTTCAAAATTCCGCCTAAAGCCTGCCATTTCATATGTGTCACTTGGTGATGAACAAATACTCCCCGAATCTTCAGCTAGGAATCTCGATGTCATATTTGACGAATGCTGTAATATTGTGGAACATGTAAATAAGATCTGCAAAACATCGTACTAAAAAAATAACCACTAAAGGAACAGTTCAAAAATTAGGAAGTACCTCACTGAAGAAACTACGGAAATTCTCGTTAATACATTTGTTAGTTCAAAACTAGACTATTGTAACTTTTTATTGTACGGCCTCCCTAAGCAAATATATGATAAGTAGTCTGCAGTCTGTGCAAAACACAGCTGCTCGTATCGTTGCTTTAACCAAGAAATTTGATCATATCACCCCTGTATTGATTCAACTGCATTGGTTACCTGTTCACTTTTGGATTCTTTTTAAAGTTTTATTGTTAGTTTATAACGCCCTAAATGGTATGGCACCATTATATAACACGGAATTACTTAGTTATCGTACATGTTCATGTATGCTACGCTCTACTGATCAAAAATTTCTGGCTGTTGTGAAGTCAAGACTTAAAACATACGGATACAGGGCCTTTTCCATTGCTGCACCTAAACTCTGGAACAAGCTGCCATTAGATCTTAGAAGTTTAGGTACACTTAATTAATTCAAAAAACACTTAAAGACTGATCTTTTTAAAAAAGCATATAACGTTTAACTTTTTGATAATTTGGAATAGGATTTACTGTGATATTTTTATAAATAAGTCTGCAAATAGGTTTTTAATTTATTCATATTTTATTACCAGTGGGACCTTTTTAATTATTTTAATATTATGAATTGTAAAGCGCTTTGGTCAATTAGTGGAGTTAGCGCTATATAAATTATGTTAAATATATAAAATGAAATAAATTAAGTTTTTACTCAAAAATCAAGATGAAAGACAAAAATCGCTAAATATTTTCGCATGCGTACAAATGGGCGTGCAGATCATATTTCAAAAGGGAATATGCAAATTTGTCCATGAGTGAAGAGATCTCAAGTTCAATGGAATATTCTATCAATGGGAAGCAAGACAAAAGTGACCAAGAAATATTTTGGGACAACAAATTTAATCAAAACAGTTTTTGATTTCCTGTTATAAGCGAAACACGTACAATTTTCTTACATGAACAAAGCCCACGCAGTACAATTCATCATGCTTAGATTGTTTTTACTTGCTTTCATGGCCAGAAAATTGCTCAGCGTTATGTCGAAAATTCTGAAAAAACTTCAATTTGATGCAAAATCTTCCATTAAACAATACTTTTTGAACACATTGTTACTCAAACATAATACCAACTGGGCCATTGAATCATCAAATTGTCACTAAGGCCCTGCTCGAAGTCCAAATGTTTGGTTTGCACTTTACGTTCATAATTTGCTTCGCCTTAGAGAATCATAGTGTCATTGACTCAAGAACTTATTGACTGTCACCTTTAAGACCTTGTTATCCATTATTTTCCAAGTGGAGTATTCTATAGCATTGCTACTTTACATTCTGAGTTCCACAAGGTCTAACTCAATCACAAATGAACAAAAACTCTGACCTGAAACTTTTGAGGGTTGGTCGCACAGGTGCCATATTTTCAAATTTGATAGAGGACACATAGAATAATGCCCCTCTAGTACCCCCTAAAGCCATCAAAATATATGCACAAACAACGGATTCTGATTGGTTTATTGACCTCTAAAGCACTGAGGAAGTTTGGGGACAAAACTCTGCTTAGTAGGGGAGGTAGGGGGGAAAAGCCTTTTCACACGAGCCAATCGCGCCGTTCAGGCGGTTCAGGTGTCAATGTGTTAAATGTTATAATTACCAGAGAACCCCGGAACAGAGTCTCCATCCACTGGCATCATCTCTTGTGTGTCATTATAGGTGGTTAGATGATCTATTTCTGCTCCCTGTTGGTGAAAACAGGTATCAGTGTAATTATATATCATATTTTGTGACTTACTTGTCACAAAACAACTACACTTCAACTGCACTCACAGTGTAATATTAACATTATCACAGAGTTTGACCTCAATGCAATGTTTAAGAAACTACCTGTACTCTGCAACTACAATTTTCCATTATTTACAATATATTGTGCGCAGTTACATAGATTTTGAAGCAGACACTTAAATTTCAGACACCTTACCATAGACTGGATTCTTAGCCACATGTATGACTCTGAAAAAGAGAGTGTTACAATTAGAAGTACAATCAACAAGACACCTGATTCACAACTTCATTTCCAGGAGCAAATTAGAGTGGCCAAAAAAGCATGTAGACAAAAAACATTGTCAATGTACCTGTCCCAAAATAGAGATTTAATTCTGCTCTGGGTGATTAAACCCTTATGTGTCAATACTGGATGATCCTTAAGGCTCATCAGCAGATTTTTTGTTTCCCTAAGGTGTTTCATCATTTCTGAACACCCATACTCCTAGTGGAGATGTTGTTTTCTGAGTTTGACTTGCCAGTTTGACTTACAGTTTCGAGAAGTGGACTCATCCCTTAACATAAGCTTGCCTTCTCATCTTGTCAGCTGTCTGTCGACCTCTTTTGACTTGTGGTTTTACAAGTTTGACTCATCTCATTGACAATATCCGTTTGTCTTCATATGTAGTTTGTTGTTTTACCCTTTCCTCATAGCATATTTTCATCATTTTGTTATGGCATTTCATTGTTTCAACTTGTTTGTGTAAACCACAAGACTGAATTGATCGACTTTAATCAACGAATACTTAATCAGAAACTTCTAACAGTGACAGAATAAAACGGGGCAGCCACGCTTAGTAAAACGACACAATGAGTACATAGCAAGTACAAGTTTCGACATGGCGGTTCTCTCATGCACTCGAGAACATGTTTTTTAACTGTCTCTGCGCATGTGCCGAATGCACACCGCAGGTTAATAATATTGCGGTCTAGACTACTAGTCACCAGATTCCACATTGTTTGCTCAGAGGGGCTATAATTCAACTTAGATCACATGTGGTACGTGTTACTTTATTTCATGCCCTTATACATGAGATATACATCCATATCTGCTCCACGCAGACTGAAAAATTTAAATTTGGCAAAATTTATACAGAGGCTGAATGCTAATAGCAAGTGCTTATACTAATGCTAGAAAACTTGAACTTCTACAAATTAGCAATAAATGACATCTTGACCTAGTGTTATTTGTCACATAATCCAAGATTTTAGCATGCATGTTTTCCTTTGAATGTTTTGTAAAGATAAATGTGTAAGTGATGTTTTTTCATCCCAAGCCACAGGAATACTGACTTAGATAAATCAAACATTGGTGTATAACAACAGTTAAAAAAAAAGACATATCAGTAAAATTAACTCAATTATCTGATGTAGCTATTAGGGAGTTAAATCTATAGCTATTAAATATATAGCTATTAGGGAGTTAACCTCTGGGTTTTAGTCCAGAGAAACTTCCCTTACCAAAAAAGATGGCCTTGAAGTATACTTTAAGTATACTACAAGTATACTGCATCAATAGTGGTTATACTGCAATCATACTTCAATAATACTTCAATAGTACTGCACTTACTTAAGTACATCTGCAGTACCCTTTCTGAAGTACACTTTAAGTATACTGCTCAAGTGAAAATCATTACTTTTTTTATTTATTTTTTCCTGGGTGCGGTGATAATAGAAAAGTTTCTATTTTTCTCGATCAGGCTCTTTGAACATCGCAGAAGTACGTTAGAAGTTGGATTCTGTGTGTGCCCTGGACGCCATGGTAAGAAAACTGAGAGCCTTGATCTGTTTTTACATTTGTCAATCAAACATGTAGTTTTTGCCAAAGCAACCTTTTTTCCAAGTTGGTTTTGAGCACATACATGCCTTTCTTCTACAATTCATGAAAAATAAAATCAGCTTAAGGTTACTACTTCCCACTTTCGCACCGCAATGAAAACTCAAGCATGTGCTTTTGTTTGCAAAGTATTTGGCAACATTAGCTTTGTTCTTTTCAATGAGTTTGCGTTGGAGAAATTTACCGAATTGGCTCTGCTTTACGGCAAGAAGTGAAGGCTCTTTAACACAGCGACCACAAAATGTGATGGTTTCGCGAATTCTTCACACTCGCTGACGTCATGCCCCCCAGCAGATCACTATCTTGCTGAAACCACCAAAAATACAAACTGCAAATGGAACAGCGTAATGTAGAATGGCACAGCGTACATACAAACAGTGTAGCGTTGCGTGAAATGGCCAAGCGTGATGTCGCATGGCACAGCGTACACACAAATGGTGTAGCATTAAGTCACTAAACCGTTTGTGTGTACGCTGTACCATTCCACATTACGCTGAGCTATTTCACGCAACGCTACACTGTTTGTATGTACGCTGTACCATTTGATACTATGCCGTACCATTTGACATTAGGCTGAGCCATTTTGCACAACGCTACACCATTTGTGTGTATGCTGTACCACTTCACATTACGCTGAGCCTTTTCATGCAAGGCTACACTGTTTGTATGTACGATGTACCATTCGACATTATGCTGAGCCATTTTACCCAAAGGTACACCGTTTGTGGGTACGCTGTGCTACTCCATATTATCTTGAGTCATTTGACGCAAAGCTACACCGTTTGTGTACTATATTGCATATGAGTGCTAGACTATTTGCAATTTAGCTGGTCAATTTCACAATTTCATGTTCCAACTCGACATGGGCAACTAGACCGTTTATCATTTGGCTAAACTATTTATGCTTAGGCTGTTCTATTTCATGAAGGAAACCTAGACTGTCTTTAATTTGGCCATGCCATTCCTTTATTAGCTATGCTTTTCTGCAGCTGATCCTTAAACCATCTTTGTATTTACTGATCTATTTGACATCCTTGTATTTTTGGTGGTGATAGTCTCCCATACTCCTGCCAGTGGGGAGTTTTAAACTCTTAGTTAGTCTACATTGTGCCTGAAAAGTCCTGGAGGGAGAGCTTCAATTGAAGTATATTATTATTACATTATTATTATTATATTATTTGACAGGTATGCAGCCTATACCTGTACCAAATAGGTGTGAGAAGGGGGCATCTTTTACAACGATGACTGATACCCAAGACTTTGAAACTACTTGTATTTTTACTGAAAGAGTTTAAAACTGGCTCAATTCTTCCTTGAAAGTCAAATATAGAAATTTGGCAAGGATCTTCTATGCATAGTTCGAGGTAGGCATTTTCACAATATGAAGACCCTATCAATTTCATCTCTCTGACAGTCCAACAAAGCTTTTGATTATGTTTTCACCTTGGTTGGTAAAATAGTCCTTAAGTCTTAAGTCTTTGTTCTTGAGACACTCATGAGAGGGTCTGATTTGCATGTACCACGGACGAACTCTGCAGTCTGCATTTGAACAGACATATGAACAAGAAAATAAAACAAGGCAAGATTCTAGCACAGCCCCATACTCCATTAAACATACACATATTGGATAAGGAAAACAAAGGTGAAAACAAGACTGCCTTAGAGCCGTTGTCTTAAAACAGAATGGGGCTGTGCAGAAATCTTACCTATCTTGGTTGAATTTGAGGGTATTTCAGATTAGTATATACTAAAACAATGGATAGCGTTGAAGGCGCACTCTGATTGGCTGAACTGAATTTGACATATATGAACAGTTCAAGAAGACTTGAAGCGTAAGCTACAAATGAATATTATCATAGACGAAAGGCAAAGGCTGACACTGAGAGTCAAACAGTACTTAAGTAATACATCTCACTGAAAGGAGATCTGTGCGATTCTTTCCGACTACCACATTGCAAAGCGCTACCATTCTCACGACAATAAAAACAGCCCGATCTACTTCTAATGAACCTAATGAGGATTACCTTGTTATTACTTATGTTATTACTTGTATTGAGCTAAAAAAATGGAAATCGGCGTTCCTGAAAGAAGAAGCTAGCAAGAAAAATTTGGTCTGACGCGAAAGTTCAACCGACTACTCAGGGAAATGTACCAAAAAAAAAATTATCAAGGCAGTGTTAGGTTATCACTACTTGCTGAAGAGGTATGACGATAATCAAGCCATGAATTTAAAACATACCGTTTCTTGTCGCCACAGAGTTTCCTGAAGCCATCTCGCATTTAAGTGAGATTCAAAATGATGGGGACAACAGCACCACATGATTATAATAATGTCGACCATCGCGGGACGGAAACGAGAGCAGAATAAGTGCTGTAACGAAGTCGTCGCGTAAGTACTCGCATATCTATATATTGCTGCCCATTCCCAGAGTTCTCTTGGGTTAATTGACGCAAAAACGGCTGATTGATCGTATTCGTATGACACATGAAAACTTACCCAGGCGGGACTTGGCGGAAAACCGCTGAGAAAAATTACGTACTTCATTTGTGTTGCGCCTGAGTTATTAAGTTTGTCTGTGGGGAACAACAACATTTCCCTTAGAGGGAGAGGGAGAGGGATTTGAGAAAGGGATACTCCAATACCAGTCCTAATCTTTTTCTCTGATTTCTTCAAAATGTCTGCGAGTTCTTATTTCAATGTAGACTTTTCACCCATTGATTGTTCAAGGTATCGACAAATGCAGAATGAAGAATGGAGTCCGCAAAGTCCAGAAAGCGACCCAGACCCGAGTTTCGATTCCGACGAAGAGAACCCCGAATCAAATATGACTTCAATTAGCTCTGATCATGACCCCAGCTCTGGATTAAGTTTCTCCGAATCACCTCTTCCACGTGCTAAAAACTCATCAATTTCACACCAGTCAACTTCAAAAAGCCTTGTTTTGCAATCTCGAGGAAACAGAGTTCATTACGAGGGAAGTGAACGTACAAAATGGGTGAACAAATCTGTTCCCCGATCCAATTCACTTGTGATTGGAAAGCGTTCACGTGCTATAGGACTAAAAGATATCGATTTGACAAGAAACCTTGCAGCAAAACACATCCGAGAAGCTAAGGAGGCAAACAAAAGCCCTTCGAAGAAACACTTATTTAGCCCTCTGTCTAAACAAATGTCTTGCCCGACGTTTAGTACGCCCTTCGAATTCGTTGGACTATCTGAGAGACATGGGGTGACTGGTAGAGGTGGTCCAACCGGTAAAGCTGGTCTTAATAGTTTTAGCCGGGGCTTGAATTTTGAATTAGTCTCACAAACAAAATCACCTTTAGTTGGCAGTCCAGTGAAGGAGGTATCACTAGATTCAGGCACTAATTTTGTTAAACTATTTAGTTGTGTCAATGAGGAAGATGGTTCTAATGAGGAAGGCATTCCAAACAAGGAATCTGACCATGACTGGTGGGAAGGATGTAACAGTACAAAAACTCCAGTTGCCACCCAAAGTAGCTATAAACTCTGTTTATCATTTGTGCCAAAAGTGGCAGAAGTAATTGATCTAACAGTTGATGATGTGCTGTCAGATGGTAAAGCAAGCAATAAAAACAGGATTTCAGAACATGATGGCATTGCTGAGAAAGCTGATGATGTTTCTGTGCAGAATACAATTCATCAAGGTTATCGGCTTGTCTCTAGAAATGCATCCACAGAGAGGCAAGCATTTTCTTTCAGTGATGATGAGGATAGTGAATCTGGCCCCAACTGTCGGTTGAAAAGTGACAAGGAATCTTCAGAAGAGTTGCTTTTACCTGATCTAGCTTCCCAGAGAGAGAGACATTCCTTGCAAGGCTTTGTGAAGATGGGAATGGTTTTCACTCTATGTGCAGTGTTGCTCTCAGTATATCTGCATGTTAACCCTCACGGGTTTTGTCTGGATAGTGAGTTCACCAATAACATTTCTGGTATAGGGTTGGCACTCAAGTCAGAATTGTTTGGTCAACACATTGCTCAGAAGATTGTCACTGCAGCACTCAAAAATCACTTTGACTCCAAAAACACCAGGAAACCACTTGTATTAGCATTTCATGGATGGACTGGAATTGGGAAGAACTTTGTTGGCAATATCATCATGGAACATTTTTTCAAGCACAAGACCAAAAGCCCATTTGTTCACAAGTTTATCATTCCACTCCACTTCCCCCATCGATCAGAAGTAGAAATGTACAATCAACAGTTGTTGAAGTGGATCAGAGGGAATTTTTCACATTGTCAAAAAGGAGGTTTGTTTATATTTGATGAAATGGACAAAATTCACCTTGGCATGATGAATAAAATCAAAGATGCTCTCTTGGATTACCGCGGCAAGAAAGCAGAGACCGGCCATCAGAACATGGTCTTCATTTTCCTGTCCAATTCAGGCGGGGAAGCTATTAATCAGCATATATTAAAGCACATCCTTGATGGAAAACTGAGAGAATCTCTAACCCTAAAGGAACTGGAAGTTATTTTTTATGACATTGCAAAGAACATACCAAATATCTGGTTTGCAGACCTGCTGAAATTGGAAGTTATAGATTACCTAGTGCCATTCCTTCCTTTGGAACGAACACACTTGAAGCAATGTATCAGACGCGAACTTGCCAAGAAAGGGTACAATGTAAAAGAGTCTTTTGTTACAGAAATTGCTGATCAGATGGATTATTTCCCAGAAAGCCACCAGTTTTTTTCTGTATCTGGGTGTAAAAAAGTTTCATCCAGAGTTGACATGATTATGGAGTAAATGCTTTTTAGCTGTGCAAAGGGTCGTTTAGACATCAACACATATTCGTGCAGGGAGTGTTTTCAGTGATGAGAGGAGATAAAAGCGACAGAAATATTGTTCAAGTGGCACAGATGTGTTTAAAATGTGTTATTGTTGTACCCATTTGATCTAATTTTATTTTAGCAAAGATGCATTTTGCAGATTATTATGCCTGAAAGAAAAAAAACAAAGAAAAAACACTTTTTTGGCAAATATTTTAGGTTAGAATTGCATCATTGAATGAAATCTCACATTCTGATTGGTTAACAAAGGGAGTTACTCAGTGTGGAATTGCGAGTTGAAAAGGAGGCTGAGTGATATTGTTTCACATCTATGTAAACATAACAACTATACATGTTTTCTTTTTTCCTCATTTTTTATTGAATTATGCAATTCAAGGAAAATCCATCACTTGACTTGTGAATTCCAAGTTAAACTGCACTTGAAAACGGATATAGCACTCATCGATTTGTGATTCGTGCAGTTTTCAAGTGCAATTTAATGGGGAATTCTCCTACAAGTAATGAATTTTCCTATAAAACCTTTTTGCCAGTATATGTTTCTTTAAGTTGCACAGTCATTTAAGATTCAGAGAGAGAGAGAGAGTGATGTCAAAAATGTGCATATATGTGAACAATGGTGATAATGTTAGAAGGATTTGGTTTTTTTTTTTCAGAGAGGTTACAAGATGCAGTTCTACTTTTAATTAAATAGGAAATTAGCCAGGCTCTCACTTTGCAAATCAAAACTTCTGTTTTAAGTCATTGATGTCATTATCTTTCTTAATTCAACTCAACTGGAACATTTCTGGTAATGCAAACAATTTAAGCAAGAAATCCTAAAAGAGTCAGTCTTTTTGAAATACAGTCAGAGGAGCGTTATAATTCGCATGGTATTTTTGTTAAAAAAATAAGATAGGAATGAAATGAGCACATAAAAGAAGTTGGTGAGAGATTGAATTTGTGCTGACTCTCATTACTAACAATGACTCCTAAAGTCTGTTTGATAAGGAAGTTTTCTATCTCGTTACTGCACATTCTTTTTTTAGTTACTGGTAGCAAAGAGACTCTGGTTTTACATCAACAGAAGTTACCACCCACAAGCTGAGATAATATTGCCAGATAATGGCTTGATATCGCAAGAGTTAAAGTTACTTTGTAATGATTAGTGTGAGAAGGGCTAAAAATGGGATTACTTTCAGTCGGATTACAAAACCAACCAAGTCATATCTTTGCTTTTCCCTCTGTTATGACATTCTAGTGTGCAGGTTACATGAATTGAAGAATCTGAACATGCCAAGTTAAACATTAACAGTGTAACATCCGTCCAGAGTGACAAGTTGAAAGAAAGATNAAAAAAAAGAATGAATGGACACCGTTCCGTCGAGTTTAATTGGTCATCAACGTGATCTCCAAGGAAATGTAACTGCACAATGTCAGTCACAAAAGATCAATCTCTGAAAGTACCCTGCTAACGCCCATTCATGGGGTTTTCAATTCTGACAGCGCGTGCATGAGTCGTGATGTAGCCCTTAACATTCGACGTCTATTCTTTTCATAATAATGTACATTAAGTGTCAACAATTTGTCACGACTCGTGTGTTTCTTTTCATCACCTTCACAGTAACTTGCAGAGGCGATCACTTTCCTTGTGCAAATCAACATCAGTGTATCTTTGCGCCTGACCGCTGCGATGGGTTAAAGCACTGTGGAGATGGATCAGACGAACAATGCAGTAAGTATTGTTGTTCATTAGTTATTTCAATTCTTTTATATATTTTGATATTTATTGTGGACTGTGCGTTTTCCACGCTGAAAAAAATTAAATAATAATAATGATAATGCTGCCTTGCATATTTTTTTTCGAAAAGAAAGAAAGAAAGGAAGGAAAAATTTGTCCAACAAGAACCCAATTTACAACAACATCTCCGAATAGCGAAATAAAGCCTTGGCGGCATATCATATGGGAAGACAGAGTTGAAATGGTAAATTGGCCACAGTTACGAACTGGTTATTGGTTGAATGCTGTCATATCCGTTTGTCTTTAATTTGAATTAAGAGCCTCAATGATATGAACGCGATTTTAGTGATGGCTAAAGTTACCATAAAAACATATGATATAAACAGTAACTGTAATTAGTGGAATAAGATATCAGCGATTTCTTCTTCGAGATGAACTCATCATGTGTATCATAGCGCTCGGCAAAATAAATTGCAAATGCGTCCAATGGGAGACACGAAACGATGAATTGTACCTTGCAACATAAAATGCTGTAATATACTCTGAACGCGGACAATTGTTATGCTGTACATGAACACTACGAATTTTCTGGAGTACATTGAGTTCCTCAAGCGTTGATATATTAATTTGAAAAAAAGCCATTATAAAATATAAAGTTATAGACCCATCAACATTGCCTTGATTGACTATGTTAATTGACCTCGAAAAGGCAAACATACAAGGTAGGGCTTACGAATAAATTTTTCTTGAACACGTTTATTTTTGTTACCCATGCATGATATAGAAAATTTCAATTTCACCGCATAAGCTCGTAGGGTTCAGTGGTATTATATAAATATAAAAAAAAAACACTTAGTAGCAAGAGTTATGATAACTCATCTGGCAATCAACATAAAAGGTCTCATTGTTTCATAACAATGCTTGTCTATCTGTATATTGGTTGAAATTTCTTGAAAATTATATCGCAAGCCCCATAAGCCCGAAGATGGAAAAAATAAAACAACAACAGCTGTGCTACAATTTTCATCTATATTGGGTCAGATTCACCCTGACTGCGCAACAGTCTTGTTTTTTATCGCCAAATAGAGTGCCCAAGTGCGCGCGGAGGACGTAAGCGGTTTCCTAGAAATGTGACTCTAAAAATGGCGTCAAATTTTATTACAAAATTTTTGGTTCTTCAAAAATTCGGTTAAAAATTACAGATTGACCGTTTCCCAGTATTATGAATGGGTGTCCTGGCACAGTTGCCATGTTTTCCCCTTCTTACCCACCAACTACTAAAAAAATACCCGAATTCAGAATACCCTGCCACTTAATATGCGTCTCTAAATAGCTGCTCCCGCAGTCCCTTACGGTAGTCACCAAATTAAATACAGCCCACACATTTAAATATAATTATGTTCTTCGTTCTTCAGTCAACCGTACCTCAAATTTCAATTAGAAGTCATATCTTAATTCCTCGTTCTTCAAGCGTAACTCAGGTCGGATATCCCGGCGGATTTCAACTTCGCTAGCGAGTGAACACACAGATTCAAACAATTAGATAATCTTCGTCCTTAAATCGGGAGTGCGGGATTGCGGGAGCACTGGTTTAACTGCTCTATCTTTTCATTATTCTTTCTAGTCAAAAGCGCGGGACTGTGGGAGCACTCGTTTAACTGACCTCTCTTAATTGTTCTTCGACTACGCGAGCACGGGACTGCGGAAGCCCTAGTTTAACTGCCCTCTCTTTTAATTATTTTTCGACTTCGGTTTCTTCTTCGATTTGTTAACGTTCAAAAGTGGTCGGGTATTCTGAAGTTCTTCCCAAATATAACTCCGTTGATCCCCAACTCGACGATCGACGCTGCGAGCACGAAAATTTTAATTTTTTTGTTTGGCCTCAACTGAGTAGCTATTTTATATAACTGTTTCTGTTGAACAATGCAATGGTTTACTCTTGCCGATGTTTAACACGGTGGTATCGTGATATTGGGAATTTTTTGGTTGACCTTGGGATTCGGGTATTTAACGAAAAGTTTCAAAGGTACTGGCAAATGACGTACAGAAAGCAGAAATAAGTATAGCGGAGACTTTGGGTGAAAAAATTTTATCTAACATTATAGTTCACCACTAAATTTTCTCCGTTAAAGTTACTTTGTAATGATTAGTGTGAGAAGGGCTAAAAATGGGATTACTTTCAGTCGGATTACAAAATCAACCAAGTCATATCTTTGCTTTTCCCTCTGTTATGACATTCTAGTGTGCAGGTTACATGAATTGAAGAATCTGAACATGCCAAGTTAAACATTAACAGTGTAACATCCGTCCAGAGTGACAAGTTGAAAGAAAGATTGTGATTGAACAGAGTAAATAAATAATTTAGCAATGGACATCCACTGGGTGGCTATTCTTGTCCACTGTTCCAGATCGAATTGGAAT